ATCAATGTTGTGCTTCTCCATTATGACACTGTCCGCAACAGCTGGGTCTGCAAAAACTACAAAACCAAAACCACGAGCACGGCCGGTGGTCCGATCCTTCATGATCACCGCTTCTACCACCTCCCCGAAACTGCTGACTCTTCATTTGTGTCCCACGATATGCCGCCAATAAACAACTTACCACTATCGGATTGCATTTTCTCTACAAGCAACAGTACGTCATCAATTCAAACTTGATAAAATTTTGCAAATGCAAATCACACTTTAAACCAACTCAAAGAAAAATGCAAACTTTAAATCCAATCTTAAACCAATTCAAAAAAGATGGAGCATTTTATAATGGATCCAATACATTTCTATAGTATAAGCAAAACTAAATAGATTGAAGCATAATGAAGTGCAGAGAAATATTCAAGCCAATCCAACAGCAACACCCACAGCTCGAATAAAGTCTCTCCTTTTATCCATCCACCTAACTGGAATCAAATGCAGATAAATACATAACCCACCAAACTAGAAAGAAGAGTACCTTCTTTTGAAATATTACAAACACAGATTGTAATACGACTCAAAACAAGTATTCCTGGATTCAATTTTGAAACATCCGATCCTTCACCGATCAAATACTGGACCCAGAATTAAGCACACCTAGAAAAAGATGATGAAAAAAAAAAACCATAAAATTTTCAATCAGAAAAATTTACCAGGATCCAGACACACAACCAATTTCGAAAAAAATATAAAAAACCAAAACAGATTCCCACCGTACCCACAGATTAATGAAAACCCAGATGCCAAATCTTGAAGAAAATTAAGATCTGAGAGGAGGCACTGTAAGAATAAGAACAGAGGGCATGTTCAACCTCCTCTCCATATATGCCCCCTCCAATCTTTTTGTTTGTTCTTTCAATGGTGATTATTTGATTACCAAATGCAAATTCAGTTATCAAACAGATGAATACGAGATTAAAAAATGTGTATTTCTAGAGAGAGAAACAGAAGTTTGAGAGAGAAAGGGAGGGCATTGAAGGTCTCTGAGGAATATATAGGCACTATGAAAATGGGAAGCTGAAGATTTTCAGTTTTTTCTCTTTTTCTTTTTTTTTTAGCTTTTTAAGGTTTTTTTCTATTTTGTGAAATAATTTGATTTGAAAATTTATGGAAATGTGTCAGTCTGAAAATGCCCAAACCAAATTTATCAAAAAGAAAATTGGACAAAATTTAGTCATGGAAAATATGGTTTTTCTCTACCCTGATGAAATGGTAAGGGTTGCATGTCCTCCGTTCGCCGTTCATTCTTTTATTAGTTTTTTTTTTTTTCTCACCATAAGATCATTCCTCTTATAGTAACTTGGCTAAAACGGTGACGTTGTTTAATCTTACCCCACAGTAAAGTGGGCCCAATGCAATACTATAACCCTACAAGCAATGCGTATTGGTATTGGATGATACACCAGCTCAGGAACACAAAAATTATTCATTATTTTGTTCTTGCCTTTTTTTATCTTAATTTTTTATTCTACATTATTTGAATTGCATGATATGATTTTTTTTCATGATATATGATTAATTTGATCTTTTAAAAACTGCTAAAACCAAGCAACAACAAATATATATATTGTCAATAAATCATAAAAGTTAAGAAAACTTTAAATTAATTTTAATTGATGTGTTGTCCACTTCATCTGCCACATAAGGTGGTATGAGAATGTGGTATACAAATGTGGTAAGAGTAGCATTATTCCTACAACACCATTTTACTCAATACTCGCCCCATATTACTTTTTAAAAATTTTATATGTATATGTTGCATTACACAACACACCCTTTAATCCATTAAAAAAAAAAAAACACCATGAATTCTTTTTCTTTTTTATGAATATGGAACAAGTAATTCGAAAATGAGACCTCTTTCAATATTGAAAAGAACAAATAACAAACACTCTGATGTCTAGCCTTGATCTATTTTCCTTCTTATTTTAGAAATGGCTGATGGCAATGATCCACATGACCAATATTTTAGCCATGGTAGTGATCTTTGTCATGGCTCAAGGCAATCACAAAGTTTTTTGTTTATTTATATATATTTTCCGAAATTTTATGCTTTAAAATAATTGAACACAAAAGTAATTTTGTAATGAAAATTATTTAAAAGAATGAATGAGCAACATGGAGTTGGTAAGTAGCATCACTCAAAATATTTTACAACAACTTGATATGCAAGTGTGGTCATTCAACCCCAAATGTTGAATTTCAATTAACAAAAAGTACTAAAATAAAATAAAAACTGCTAGGTCTCGCTTCATCTATATTAGTTAGTTGTCGTTTCTTTTAAGGGTTTTATCACCCCTATCCCGTTAAAAAAAAATCCAAATATTAAATTAGAAAGACAAGTATATACTTTATTTCACAATATAATAAACCAATCGAATTTTAATTATTCGTTTTGTAATACAAATGGTTGGCGACCATTCACTCAAAACTTTAGCCCAGAGTAATTATCTATCCAAGCTTATATATATATATATATATATATATGTATGTATGTATGTATGTGGCCGGTCACAAGGAATAGTGAAGAAAAAAAATAGAATAATACTTTTTCTTGTCCCGTTTTGCATATGTAAATAAAATATAATGTTGAATTATATTTAATATTATTTTAAAAAAATTAAGTAGAAATCAACAATATATAGGTTCAACTTGTAAGCATATATATTGAAATGAAAAAAAATAATTATGGAACGAACAGCAAATTAAATTATTGTTAATGAGATCAAACAAGTCCACTACTAGAATAGAAGTCAATTTAGTCAAACATAAACACTATTATTGTTTAATTGTTTGATAATAGCTCAACACTCCAAAAAAAAAATTCAAACATTCTTTTGAAAAGAAAAAATAATAATCACACACATAATTAGCATAAAGTTCTTCGCCCAAAAATACCACCAACTTTATTCACTATTCGACGTCACCGCCATTGCCATCCAACAATACTTTCACGTTTCAACCAACTACAAATGATGAAAAGAAAGTAAGGGGAGAAGGAAAAGAAAGAAATACATGTAGTCCAAATAAACTTTTGGGTACATATAATCGAAATTTCCTGCTTTTGTAAGCGAAATTATAATACCTTATTATCAGAATTTCAAATTTTGAAAAAAAAAACACAAGAACTTCAAGCCGAAAAAAGACCGTTTTTGGCTTTATCAACAACAAAGCATTTGTCAACGAGGTCTAATCTAATAGAAAAAGGGTTTTCATTTACAAATCAATGGTTTCAGATTCGAACTCATATAACATATCGTTAGTGTGTGTGTATAAGAAACCTTCATCTCCCTCGTAAAGTCAAGTATTTGAACTTGCAATGAAATTTAAAATGAAAGAAGAGGTCGCTTTCAAAATACTTATTATTATTATTATTATAAGAAGGGGTATTTGGGATGAAAAGGTAATTATTGATTAGATTTGGTTAATTCTGGATGATGGAATTATATGATTAACAATCAATCAGCATCTTTCTTCGTGCTCCCCACGAAAGGGACTTTGGTCTTTCCACTCGATCGTTACTCGCCTAGAAGCAAGCTCCAGCTATTTCTCACATCACATAGTATAATATAATACTTCACTTTTTCTTGCATTTCATTATTTGACCACACTACCCTTGTAGTTGCCCCTTTGTCATTTGACTCCCCTTCTGTTCTTGACTTTCTCAAACCATGGGCGGCACGGTCCGGTTTAAATCGGTCTCACTCCCAAATTGCAATCGAACCGTACATTAGTGTAGAAATCAAATCAGTGTCTGAACGATTTTAATTGGTTTAATTTGACTGGCGTTAACTCTTCATGCGGTTTTATGGCCACCCCAACCTATAAGCCTATTGACTTTTTAGCAAATATCGTATGTACTATATTGACTACGTTACAAGTCACAAGGCTAGTTTGGTCATCTTATATACATGCGGTGGTATCATGTCATCACATGCATGCAACATCATATATATTAAGATAATACTTCCCTCGTCATCTTCTATTGCGGCTCAACCACAAAGTGACATATGTCCTCTCGTTTTTAATTGTCAATGCTGTTCTTTTATTTTCACTTTTATTGAACCCATAACTTTTATTTTGACTGATGAAGGAAAATTATTATTTTAAAAATGGTTGAGAAAAATCAATGTGAAGAACAATGGGAATTTTAATAAAATAAAATAATTAAATAAAAAGATGTTTTGACAATTAAAAAACGAAGACACATGTCACTTTATGGTTGAGCCACAATAGAAGGCTCGTATGAGTTCCTCCTTTAAGTATTACATACATGTATTATTGTATGCCATCACATCGTCCCTTCAATTTGAGCCTGAATCAAGTCCTTTAGCAACTCTCAATCAGAAACCATTATCCCCAAAAAGCCTTGGAAAGCCCTTTAAGTTCAATATCCAACAGTCCATGGAAATAACACCTGCTTTGATCATTTGCAATTTTCTCCATCTAGTGCTCACTTCCTCATTAAAAACTTGCTCAGACGGCAACTTTTTGACCAACCAGATCTTCACTTCTTGCAGTGACCTTCTGGTACTACAAGCCCCCACTGGAATTACATTCCATCCACCAGAAGCATCCAAATTGCTTACAGAGCAACTCAAGCTTCTACTGTCATGGCAGTTTATACAACACCTGGAGGTGCAGCCAAGAGCTTTTAGCTTTCAAGTTTCTAGCATCTCCGCAGAAAATTCCAACGGCCCATCTTTGGTGTCCTGGGACCATTAGCTAATGGCACCAGTCACTCATGTATGACAAGCTGGGAATTCAGTTTCAAACGATGTCCCAGAGACTTGCCCAATTACAGGGCCAATTATTCAATCCGTCAGAAAATTTGATTTTCTGTCTGGATGAACTACTATGATCATGTTTACTACTAAACCAGAAGGGGGAAAGGAAAAGTAAATAAAAGAAGGATGTAGATCGATAGGAAATTAATAAACCAACCAGAATGATCTTCAAAAGGGGATATTTATAGCCCTAACATTTTAGTGTAGCCCTGTTCAGCAAGATTAACACTTCCATCTTATGGTAGAGTCTAAATAACCTCAAAGCTTTTCTGTGTACAAAGCACTAGAGTGAGAGTTGATGTGGATTGTGAAGTAGAAAATTAGCTTGAATAAATAGGTCCCTGACTGCTAGGCATGTGTAATGAAGCTATCCATCAACTGCAGCAGCTCATCATGCTTGGCCTTTGTTACAGATAACTCCAATGTTACCTGTCATATATGACAGGAAATTGTTAAAATGGATAAATGGAGCTCCAATACTGAATCCTCTTAACCAACCAATTTGAACTTTTTTTCTCTTCCAAAACATTTAAATTTCCACTGTTTCTAGATCTTCAATAAATTAGTCAAAATCATCAACGAAAAAAAAGGCAGGGAGACTTGATACCCACAAATTGAGAGGCCACTAAACTCTTTATGGTTCTTATTCTTTTCATATGAGTATCGAGCCCCTTTTTAAAAACATGAAACTATTGAAAAAAATTTGGATTTTAGGCTGGGCGGTACATAAGTTGTAATTAAAGCATCCATAATTTAGGAGAGCCACTCCAAGGTATAAAGAGAGTAGGAACATTAAAAAGACATTCAATTCCAAAAATCTATAGTTCACATAGACCAACTAAAGCCTGTGCAGAATTGCATATTTCATGAAGATAATTGCGCTCACCTCTTTGAAGATTTCACTATAAGAAGTCTCCTCAAAGCCCTGCATCAAACATATGCAAGTTTGGTGAACCAGAAGGAAGAACAAGTGCAAAATGTAAGTGAAGTATGAGCAACTAACATTGCATGATAAATTGAGTTTGTGATAAAATAAATTCATATATATATATATATATAGAGAGAGAGAGAGAGAGAGAGAGAGAGAGAGACCAATTTCCGGAACAAGCTAAGAGATGCTCCATTTAGCTCTCCAATTTTAGCACGGAAGATGTGGATCCCCAGATTCTCAACTGCAAAGGCCATCATCATCAAGGCAGACTCCTTCCCAAATCCTTTACCACGACTATGCTAGCAAGAGCAAATATTGGATGTTTAAATTATAGTATATACAACAGTTCCTAAAGTGAAAACAAGCAAGGAGGTATAAATTTTTGGTTCTGGAAAGCTTCAATGAACAAACATATATAATTAACCAAAAAAAAGGGAAAACCAGATTGGCACTAACACAAGCACTTCAGCCTCGTTGGCATCAGAAGAAAGTAAAAGCTGGTACCTTTTTGGCTCAGCAATCATTATTTCAATCTCTGCCATTTGAGGATCGTCCAGGTCATTCATATATAAATTCACATCACCTACCATGGCTGGCAAAGGGCATACCATTACTCACTGATAAATCATACTACACAAAGAAAGTCCACCATGCAAATGAGCTAGTTCAAGATTTGAAGTGCATATATTTTCATAATATGTTCAATAGATAGCTACAGGCACTCAACTCCTTTAAAAATATCTTCTTTATCTTTGTTTTTCTCTGAACGCCTCGATTTCTAATAAAAATTAACTGAACAAACGATATCTTCAAAACTGGAATAAGTTAATAATTCCCAGTTTTACTTGCTGAACAATAAGAACCTTCTCGGGAATGCCATTCCAAACCATCCAACCAACTGTTTCTAGAGAAAAAGTGCTTTGCTTACTCAAGGTGATCCTTTTACTTGCAAAACAGAGATTTTCCCCTTTCTCTTTTTTTGGTTACAGTAACTTCCTTTAATTTTTCTCAGCAACCAAACAGACAATAATGTGTGAAGAAAGGGTGTAAATTTGGCTAACCTTCCACATGGGGCCGTCCATGGTTGAATTCTCCCACAACCAACTGCTTATCCAATACAATAAAAGTCTGCTCTGCAAAACCCATTTCCAATTCTTTATACTCACAAGACCATGAATATAGCAATGAAATCTTTCAAATAAACCTCAATCACTAATCAAAACCCGATTGAACCCTCTTCTTTTTTTCCCGGAAAGATCAAACCTTGACTAGCAGAATCTATAATTATAAGTTATTTGTTAAAACCAAGATTACCCACAGTTCAGTTTAGCAAACTAATCCACAAAATCAGAGAGAGAGAGAGAGAGAGAACTGTTGGGGTCTTGGGTCCAGGTGAGCTGCATCTGGTACTCCTGGTCGAGGGTGAGGGGCTCAGAGCCAGTGGCTTGGAGAAGAGCTGGGTCTTGCATCCACTCATGGTACTTTGGAACGTGTTCTTTCATGTAAGGCACCAGTATCACTCTCCCTCCTTCCAAGCTCACTCTATCTTTCTCTTTCTCTTGCTCCATCTTTGCTTCCCTTGCTCTATCTCTCTCTCTCTGTCTTCTCTCTCTCGCAAAAACTGACAGACAAAACAATTACATAGATTAACCATCAAACGACGTCGTTTCAGGTATGACGAAGTCAAAGGTCGAGATTTTTTGTGTACCTTTTTTTTCCCAGTAGTGTTGGAGAATATTTAATTATTTAAATAATGAGAGCAAATTTTATAAATAAATAAAAATTAGTCAAAAGCAAGCTTCACTTATCATCATTCCCTTGCTTCAAAGACAAGCACAATCCTCACAAAGATCTATTTCATTAAAGAAGACAACAAAAAAAACCCAAATATTCCACGACAAAAGATACTTGCACTTGCACTTTGAAGCCTTCATTTTCTACTCCACCAAACAAACACTTTTGAGTGCCTTAACTTCAAAGCTAAGCACACACACTACTCTATTCCCACACTTGCTCCACAGCCATGATGACCAACCATCACCCTCTTATCTCCCTCATCATTACCAAACACATAAATGTTAACAAAAGCTTCCCAACCAAACCAATTCAAGCTCCCTAGCTCCATTTCTCTTTGATCAAATCCTTCTTCCAACCCATCAATATGTTCTTCCTCTTATCCCTCTTCCTTCTCTTTTCCCTACCCCATGTCACATTTTCTGCCCATTGCACCACCTCCACCCCCACTCAAACCTTCCAAAAATGCATCACCCTCCCTACCCAACAAGCCTCCATAGCATGGACATTCCACCACCACAATGCCACCTTAGACCTTGTTTTCTTTGGCACATTCATATCCCCTTCCGGGTGGGTCGGGTGGGGCATCAACCCCACCTCCGCCGAAATGACCGGCACAAACGCATTGGTCGCCTTTCCGGACCCTAGTACCGGCCAAATAGTCCTCCTACCTTACCTCCTGGACCCAACCGTGAAGTTCCAACGCCGCCCTCTCCTCTCTCGCCCTCTTGACATCCGCATAATCTCCTCCTCTGCCACTCTATACGGTGGCAAACTAGCCACCGTCCATAATGGGGCCGCAGTCCAAATCTTCGCCACATTGAAGCTCGCGTCAAACAAAACAAAACTCCACCACGTGTGGAACCGCGGCCTCTATGTCCAAGGCTACTCACCAACCATACACCCAACCACCGCAAACGACCTTTCGTCGGTAATGACATTCGATGTCATGTCAGGCTCAACGGCCGCACGTCACACCAACATTGGTACACTCAGATCAGTGCATGGCATCATAAATGCTGTTTCATGGGGAATCATGCTACCCATTGGAGCAGTGATTGCACGCTACCTTAGGCACATCCAAGCACTGGGGCCTACATGGTTCTATGTTCATGCTGGGATCCAACTGTTTGCTTTTTTCTTAGGAACTGTGGGGTTTGCCATTGGAATTAGGCTTGGGGATTTGTCACCTGGTGTCCAATATGGGCTCCACAGGAAGCTTGGGTTTGCAGCATTTTGCTTAGGTGCTCTTCAAACACTGGCACTTTTGTTTAGGCCAAAAACTACAAACAAATTCAGGAAGTACTGGAAATCTTATCACCATTTTGTAGGGTATGGATGTGTGGTGCTTGGGGTTGTAAATTGTTTCCAGGGTTTTGATGTGATGGGAGAAGGCAGGTCTTATGCTAAGCTGGCCTATTGTTTGGGTTTGTCTACTCTGATTGGGGTGTGTATAGCTTTGGAGGTGAATTCTTGGGTGGTGTTTTGTAGAAAATCAAAGGAGGAGAAGCTGAGGAGGGAGGGTTTAATTGGGGGCTCTGATAAAGGCAGTGCAATCTTCAGTTGAGCTTGAGAGAGAGACATACATATACAGAGGAAGAACCCTCTTTGCAATGTCATGGATCATATTTATAGCTAGCTAGCCAGCCAGCCAACTACATGTTAAAAAACAGTGCTTTTGTGGAAAGGAACTAAAATTTTGGTTTGGATGTTTCATGCTTCTGTAGGGCAGCTGAGATCAGAAATCAAACTTGTGCTTATAGTTTCTTCTTTTTGTTTTCTTGGATGAAAACTTTTCTTTCTTCTTTGCCTGAATGTATACAATTACCACAGTTTGTACTGTATGTTCAATTACCACAGTTTCACTCAACTATTTTACACACGAGTTTTCCTTTTGCTGTAAGTTTCTGTAAAGATAAATCATCAGAAAAGAAAAAAAAAAATTAAGTCAAAAAGTTGATTTTGTCAAGAATGGGATTCGAACCCATGCCCTTTCGGACCAGTACCTGAAACTGGCGCCTTAGACCAACTCGGCCATCTTGACGTTTGTTGATAATTCTCCCACTTGTGAATAAATAAAGTACTTGTCTTCCACCCACTTTCTTAACAAATAAAGATTACTTGCCTTCCAATTAAGCTTGTTGTGATTGCATTTGGACGTATGCTTAATTGTATTTGACCAATTACAATCACTGTCACAACTACTGCTTGTCGTCTAGTGGATCCTTGCTTGCTAGACAAAGGATGAGACAATAATAGATCCCTTTCCAAACAAGTGCGTGCAATTGAACGGTGATGGTGTTGCCCTAAAGGGGAAGAGACGAGAGTCGAACTCTTATTGTAAGTATTCCGAAGAATTAGGGACAAATGTTCTATCACTAAAGTTAAGCCTCACTTTCAAGTGACATAAAAGTTAATCCATTTGCCATTTCATGGGCAGACCGTGTAAGTGAGAAAACTATGCAATTTTGTTGCTAACACATTTGTTTGGTTGTGTAGAATTTGCATCTTGATTCTTGAATAGTTACTGCAGCCATAGCCAGTGAAAGTTGAAGTAGATTGATCATTCACACAAGCTCATTGTAGAAAGTCTAAAAGTAACATAAAAGGTGGTATTTTCAATCGTTTTCTTCATCCTTTTTTCTTTCTTTGAACTTTTTGGGCTGGTATATTCGAGTCTCTCTCCCCACTTGAGCTCTTTGAATTTCGCATCAGAGATATCTAGAATGATATAAAGCAGAAAGGAGCAAATGTAGTGGCAGGAATGTTGGTCTCTCTTTAAGGGTCCTCTATCATACAAGACTTTTCCCCCTTTTTTTTTTTTTTTTTTCCAATGAAAAGAGATTTTCAAAGTGAAATAATACCTTCCTTTTATAATGCATTCAACGCACTCTTTGCCTGATCAGAAACCACTTAAACGTTCATGCTGGAAAGAAAGAGACTTATTAATTTCCTAATCTTCCAAATATTACCTACATCATTTTGAATTAAAATATTACCAAATATTATAGTGTAATCTAATCTAAATTACAAAGAGGGGGATTTGAACTCGAGTGCAGAATGGAGAGCACATCCGTTCTAGACAACTTAGCTAAGCCCATGCCTGCATTATGACTCCAGGACTTATTTATTAAGAATAAAAAATAATCACTTTCCAAAGAAAGAAAAGAACTTGATGTTCCTACTCTGTTTTGGCAAATTGATCAACTTGCCAACATGAACATGAGACACTACATTTCACCAAAAAAAATATATTGAAAAAAGAGTTTGAAAGTGTTGCATACTAAATCCTCGAAGGCTAAGAATCAGAATATGCGATAATTATTAATGGGGGTCCCTATATGGTAACCCTTAAACGTTTCACACTAATAAATCGACAGTAATTTCAGGTACAAAAAAGAAAAACAGAATAATGGGAAGAAAAAAAAAAGAATAAAAAGAAGCATTCCCTGACCAGAACCCAAAGCTTTGCCAGAGATGTTACAGATAAAACTCTAGGAAAAAAAAAACATATATATATATATATATATATATATATTAGTCTATCTTTCTTGCCAATTTTTTTTTTTTTTTTTTGCCTTTTGGGTTTCGCCGCCTCACCGGAGATGCATGATACACTTCTGACTATATCCCGCAATCTGATTTTACATCTCACTCAAAGACCAAAATATAAAAACCTAAAATGGGTAACTCAAAACTCAAGCATTAACACAAAATCCATTTTAACTTCTACCTCTAATCTTAATTCTTGAAACAGGCACTCCAGCCAGTTAGCTCTTCTTACTAACCATATTTCTTTTACTGAGATATATAAATGAGGGCGGTGTGCAAAATTCACAATTCACCTGCTTCACCAGACTATCTTTCACCTACAGTGCCGTGATATCAGAAACGAAGATCCTAGGCAGCAATTCCTGAAAGAACGTTGGAAATGAGCTTTTAAGTATCAGCATATATATTGAAAATTAGTCAAGTGAGAAACACTTTTTCAGTTAAATTTACATTACATTAATGAGTAGATTCCATTTCATTCATCTGAGTAGACAGGCGTGTGTATGTGTGTCCATGCGCGTGTAGGTGTTTACATATACATATACATAATTGTATTACCAACAGCTTCAATGCGGGATCAAATTCACGGAAATAACTTCCAAGAAAATTTGAATACTTTGCACTCTGACACTGATTAAAAACGCTATGTAGCGAGTAGTTATCAGCCAGCTCATGGGTAAAAGCTAAGTATCCTGAAAGCTTATGCTAACAACAATATGTTTCACCTTTTATAACTGCTGCAACATTCAAATAAATAAGGAATATGCAGCCATTATAAACTAAGTTGTGATTTCTTCAATGATGGCAAGACTATATAACAAATCTGACCTCAAATTTGAAGAGGCTGTAAGGAGTTAAGGCTCACGAAATGAGAATCCAATGGTCGACTAAATTCTCTATCCTTCTATTCATTTGTTAGTTATACACCCTCCTACTTGCAGAACTTGAATATGCATCCATGAGACAGAAAAACATACATACTGCCCAACTATATCATCCCTCTCCACTTCAGACCCTTGACTAGTGCTTTGTATTACTTAACAGATTCAGAAAGGTCCTAAAAAGAGATTATGAAAAGGTTGGATACAAGGACAAAAGGACAAAAGTTATGAGAGCAAACACACACCGGAAAGAGAGACAGAGACAGCCAGCGCAGACACATTTTAACCATAGGCTAGAATTCAACGATATTCATATTAGACTTCTTTAGAATTCTACATTTCTCTCAATTTCTTCCTTGGCTGAATTAAAAGAACAACATAGAGAGATAAAACTAGGAGAATCATGTTACTCAACTTCAATGCACTGCTGACTATACATATTGTGGTCTTTAAGTTGTGATAATAAAAAATGAAGCCACTTTTCACTATTGTGTCTTATTTTGTGAAAAACATATGCTGAATCTCTTGAAACACAATGTCAAGACTCAAGAACTCCTTAAAACAAGAGAATGGGACCGCATAGTAGAGAGTTCTATAGCGTAGCAGAAAAAAAAAATCATGCACTTCTACATAAGAAACAAAAACAAAATCCTATGACCCAAAACGTGCGCACACACCTAAAGAGAGAGAGGGGTAAAAAGAGAAAACTCATCCAAACTCTAGAATGGCCAATAAACAAGAAGTAACTTCGAAATCTGCCAAAGAAATAAAGGAAACAAATGCAATAAAGATTCATAATGCTTTTCCTTCCAGAAGGAGAAGAGAAATTGATGAAAGCTGCCTAATCTTCCTATCAAAAGCAAAGGAGCAGAAGATTCTTTAAAATCACATAAGCAAGAACACAGGAGATCCCCTAATGCCTTATCAACAACATACCACAAAATATAAATATGGTGGACCGTCGCTTCACCCCTGCACAATCAATACCCAATTGGGACAATCATCCCCCTAATTATCAAAAGGTAGAAGGTTGTATCTAGTTAAGTAGCCAAGAAGCTCACTGGCCCAGCTACAACTTCTACTAACACCAGAAAGCCAAATAAAATTATTTCACCAATACTCCAACATTGAAAGCCTTTTCCCTTCATCTCGAAGTCCCACAGTTTCCCCATTGCTTAACAGAACTCACATAAAAACCTAATAGCCCTTGGACTCCAAAGAAATACACTCTTCACCAGCAAAAATAACTAGCTTCCCAAGAATCTTTGTTAAAGATATAGGAAAGTTAAAAGATGCCATCACTGTGGATAATCAGCTAGAGGATGACAGATGAAGTAAAGAACCATCTAGGTACCTAATGTAACAATCACATCCCTAGCCATGTGGCGAACATGCGAATAGCTAGACACAGTCACAAAATTCAATAAAATTTTGCAGCACAACCTTATGAAGTGCTTTTCCTATTCATACAGTTAATATGGACCAAAACACAAAAAACCTACACACTTGGACAGAATTTATCACTAGAATTGTAGGTCAAAACAAATTCAGGATCCAATCCTCTCGTAGTCAACTTCAAAAAAAAAATTTAGAATAAAGCTCCTTAAAAAATGAAAACCAGAAGTTGCATGAGATAGTAATTAAGTGTTTCTTACCTGTGTTTGACTGTCTCTTATTAACACTATAACCACCAACATAACCAGGCGAACTTTTAGCTGAAACATCAGAAGTTGCACCGCCAAGACCATAACCAAAGGGAACAGACCCTTCTCGCTCGGAATTCGATGATCGCCAAGTAGGATCTCCATAAACAGAATTACCATTGTAAAAGTCAGAGAAGGACCCATCGAAACCACCATTTGACGCAGCAAATGAAGATGAAGGGGCCACACTTGTACCACTGTTTCTTCCATAACCTCCGGTTCCCAAACCATAACTGTTATCACCAACTCCATAACCAAGATTCCCACTATTGTTAGAAACATTATTTCCTCCACCTTGAGCTGAAATTGCTGAAGAACGCCAATTAACTCCAGTATTGCCAAACGTACTTCCTCCAATGGTCCCACTTCCTGATCCCATGTAAGCACTGGAACTTTGAGAATTTGTTCCATAATTAAGCCCCCCATTGCCCCACAAGTTCCGAGTCACCGAGCTAAAAAAAGATGATGTGTTTCCTCCATTACCACCATCATACCCAACGGGACTGCTAAATCTATTTGAATTATTGATATAATAAGGACTCACTCCCCGTGGGTAGCTGATATTACTATTAAAGTTTGTATTTCCTCCAAAACCTGGGTTCAACCCTGGCTCATAATTCATACCCATTCCATAACCAGAATTAAATGGAGGAAATCCACTTCGACCACCAGCAACTGGACTGAACCTACCAAGCCCATAGCCTCCAACTGTATTTGGAGTATATCCCTGAGTGTAGCCATTAAGGAAGCTATTGACTCTACTCAGACCATAGTTGTATCCTCCAATAGGGCTGCGACTGGGACCAGGTGATAACTCTTTAGGAACTGCACGCTTGACTTCAACCATCTTCCCATTCAGTTCATGAAATGTCTTAAGCAAAACCTTGTCCACTGCCTCCTCTGAATCATAAGTGATGAACCCAAAGCCTCTCGGCCTCTGGGTGTTGTGATCATACATCACCACAACATCAGTGATTGTCCCAAACTGTTCAAAGTACTTCTTGAAGTCACTCTCTGTGACAGTGGATGCCAAACCTCCAACAAAAATCTTTCTTGTGCGGCCTGGACCTGGAGAACCATGGATGCTGCCACTGCTTCTACCCAAAATGTTCTGGTCATCCCTGGGAACAGCCTTTTTGGCCTCAACCTGAGAATAGAGAACACAATAGTAAAAACAAGGATCGCGTGATACAAGCAATATAAATCATCAGTTTAGAATAATACAGTAGTGCATTAACAAAAGTGATAGAAAGAAAGGTAAAAGAATGAGAAGCATGATTAACTCTTGCTGAATTTGAAATTTAGTTGAACACAGAACCACAGTAAAAATAAATTCCTGCAATTACAATTTCAGACCCGTAACTCCTATATGAGAATGAATTTTCCTTTACATTTGGAGCGATTAAAAAAGAAGCATAATGATGCATGGTCACAATGTAAATATACGAAAACAACTGAAGGATAAAACTACATTCATCCAAAACAAAGTATTTTGATTACCATCCTTCCATCGATGTTGTGCTTCTCCATTATGACGCTGTCTGCCACTGCTGGGTCAGCAAAAACTACAAAACCGAAACCACGAGCACGGCCTGTGGTCCGATCCTTCATGATCACTGCTTCTACCACCTCTCCAAAAGTACTGAAATACTCTTTCAGGCGCTCTTCATTTGTGTCCCAAGATATGCCGCCAATAAATAACTTACCACTATCGGATTGCATTTTCTCTACAAGTCAAAAGTACTACATCAATTCATGCTCCAAACTCAAAGTAAATATGCAAACTTTACCAAAATCTCAAAGCCGATTCAAAAAGGAAAGGGGTATTTTAATAGATGATCCAATACAATTCCATAATCTAAACAGAAGCTATATGAATTCCAGCATAATGAGATGCAAACAATCATCCCATCCAATCCAATCTCCCAGCAACACCCGCAGCTCAAATAAAATCACTCTTTTATCCACAATAAGCACGCACCTAAATGGAATCAAATGTGGATAAATATGTATAACCCACCAAAGTTAAAAGACCAGTACCTTATATGAAATATTGCAAACACGCAGATTGTAATCCGATTCAAAAGCAAGTATTACTGGATTCAATTTAGAAACATCCGATCCTTCACCGATCAAAAACTGAACCCAGAATTAAGCGCACCTAGAAGAAACCCAATCAGAAAAATTCAGCTGGATCCAAATCCAAACCCAATTCAGAAAAAATGAAAAACCCAAATCAGATTCCCACCATACCCACCGATTGATGAAAACCCAGATGCCAAACCTTGAAGGAAACTAAGATCTGAGAGGAGGCACTCAAAGAATAAGAACAGAGGGCATGTTCAACCTCCTCTCTATAAAAGCCCCCTCCAACCTTTGTATTTGTTCTTTCAATGGTGATGTTTGATTACCAAATGCAAATTCAGTTACCAAACAGATGGGTAAGAGATTAAAAAATGTATTTGGTAGAGAGAGAAACAGACGCTATAGAGAGAGAAAGATAAGGTGTTGGGAGGTCTGGTGAGGAATATATATATATGTATATATATATATAGCTCTCTGTAAATTGGAAGATGAAGATTTTCACCTTCTTCTTTTTTCTCTTTTTTTTTACTTTTCGAGGTTTTTTCTGATTTGAAATTTGTAAGAAATGTGCAGCGAGAAATGCCCAAGCAATATTTAATCGAAAAGAAAATTAAAGCGTGGAGATTTGGTAATGAAAAATGTTGCTTCACTCCGATCTGATAAAATGAGAAGAGGATCGCTTGTGACTTGTCCTCTCATTCCTTCCTTTTATACTTATTGGGAAAACATCTCCATTATATGGTGTTGCACATAATCTGCGCGGCGCCGCAGGAAATTTATACCCACCACGCATTGGACCCAAACCAATGCTATCAGCCGTTGATTCTGATGAGTTTTGCTTGGTCCCAGTTTTGTTTGTAGAAATTTTTTCATTAATGCTAACGATAGTCTAAATTATTCTAAATTAATTTAATATTCAATCTACGGAAATGGGGACTTAACATTAAGTGCAAGGGAGAAAGACCTTTTTATTTGGTATAAAGTTTGTAGATATTGCATGTGATCAAGTGTTAAATTTATTGTAAGTATATAAGATTTGAGGGCCGTCAATGGGGTTTAACCTAGTAAAATAGGGTATCGGTTTGCAGATCTATGGTCTTAGGTATGAACTCCAATGACACCTTGATAATGTGTGAGAAACTCTCTCTCCCCCTTCTAGTTTAAACTATCGTTTGTATTCCAAATACAGAAAAATTGAGGGCCATTAAAACCAATAAAAGAAAATTGAATATAGTTATTAAGAAAAGAAAAAAAAGGACATTGGTTAGCACACCCTTTTGTTTCCAGAAACACCATTAATTAAACCCTAATTATTATTATTATTTTCATTTTTTTGAAAAAAGAAGGGTGCACAGACCCATCCACAAAGACTGGTGTGGGCTATATTTTCTAATATGGGATGGGCTGGAGCACACCCAAGCCAGCTTGGTTTAGTCCCTGGATTTGAACACTCAATGGCTCCATGAGTAATTTGAACACTACTCATGGCTCTTTTGAAAAAGGAGATTTTAATCATTAATGTGTGCATTCTAATAAGATATACCACAATAGCTTACTAATAATAAGATAAAAACAAGTTCGCTATTAGAAATACAGGTCAAATTGTACCAAAAAAAGAAATAGTCAGATCACACTTTTGATCCATGTAATTTGAGCAAATCTTTATTTTAATCCCTTAGTTTCAATTTTGGCAATTGTAGTCGTGTAGTTTGCTTACTTTTATTATTATGATCCTAATTGCTAAATTAGCGTGTAAATGGCAATATAAGGGTTTTTAGTGAATTTGAAATGTCGTTAGGAGCTATAATAACAAAATTAAGCATGCTACATGACTGCGACTACCAAAATTGAAACTACGGAATAAAAGTAGAAAAACTACTCAAACTGCAAGGACCATAATTTAATCAAAGTAAAATACAATAAATACTCCATCCAATATTTACTTTCTCAACCAACAAAAATGAATGAAGAAAAATAAAGGGAAAACGTAAAGAAAAGAAATAATGGTGTTAAAAGAGAAGAGGAAAATATTTTGTATATATAAAAAAGAATTTGCCAATTGGTTTCGGGGTTGAACCTCAACTTCATTCATGGTATTAGAGCAGGTTAGAGTATCTACAAGAGAGTCTCCAAATTTTAGCCAAATTCTAGCTAAAATAGCTAGAAAGCTATTATAGCAAACTATCTAAAAGGTGTTTCCTCCAACAATGTTCTCTATTTTGACTAATCTGAAATATTTTATTATTATTTTATCTTTATCTTTCTCCCTCTTTCTCTTACAAATCAAATATATTACAAAGAAAAGTAGAAACTCAACCCCACCAACCTCCCAAATGTCTCTATCTCTCTCCCCATTTTTTCTCTCTCTTTCTCTTTTTCTTCAATTTGGCGAGCCTCCATTTCTCTCTCCTCCTTGCTAGACTTAGAGAGCCAAAAGTTGGTTCTCCAAAATAGAGAGCCAAGTAGGGAGTTTGTTGGAAGGAGGATTTTCCTTCTTTTTAGCCAAAGTAGCTAGGGATGAGAGAATATGGAGTTTGCTAGAGATGCTCTTAGCCTACATGTGAAAGCCCAACGATCATATGTGCTCCACGTCACCTAATATGTATTATCCACATGTTAGACTTGAAAATTTGCCACACATGCGGATGTGTGTGAGAATGTGAAGCTAAAATGTTTCATATTGGAAAGTTGGGAAACCTAGTAAGGGCTTATAAGGAGTTAGGCTACTCCCCTCATTGCCAATTGATTTTGGGGTTAAACCTCAACTTCCTTCAATATTCATACAATATGCATACATGTCGAGACCAACATGCTCCCCCAATCTCTATATCTCTATATCTCTATCTCATATTCCAGCCATTTAAGCGAAATTTGCAACCCTTGTAGTCAAAACTTCAATACCCTATTTGGTTTATGAGAAAGGAGGCTTGGGGATGAGAAATCAATTGCTTTCCTATATTTGGTAAGTCCAGGCATGGGAAATGGTTGTCTATCACATGGGAAAGTAAAGGGGAAAGTGAAGCCCTCCTTCTAACTTGGTTTTTGTTTTCCCTCCTCATGAGAAAGTTTGGGAAAATTAGTCAACACTAAATGCACATTTTTCATGACCATTTTGTCCCCATTAACAATTCAGAATTACAATAAATCATTAAATGCATTTTTTTTATTTGATTTAATATGGGTATAATTAGAAATTATACCAACTTTGTTTTCCATTCATACTCAAAACAAACATGGGAAATGAAATAAAGTGATATCTCACAGTTACTTTCCCCGCATTACCAAACATATGAAATGAATCTTTCATTTCTTATCCCTTAGGAAATAACATGGGAAGTGATTTTCCCTCAAATCCGTTCCGTGAACTAAACGGGGCCCAAATGTGATCAACTAATCAAACTTAGCAAGAAAAAAAAACTTATTTCTTTTTCTTTTAACGCAGCAGCAAAGCATTTAACTTTTTTTTAAGCATCATTTTTTGGGATGAAAAGGTTATTCTCAATGTGAAATTTACCAACTCCATTTGACTTTGAAAAAGAAAATTCGAGTTTTTTTTTACGATGCATTTGGACAATCTGCATAGTAAGGTGCACGTATGTATGGATCCTGGTGGCATATTCTCAATATATATATATATATATATATGTTAATAAGCAAACTTCCACCTATAAATAACCCAACTATATATAAACTATTTATATACCACATATATATATATATGTCATATCTCTAATATTAATTTAAAAATCAGTAAAAACATTTTATACAATATGATCGATAAATATGACACATACAACAACAAACGTTACTCGTACGACCTAATATAATTTTAGTAATTTTTTTTTCCCCTTATGTTGATAAGTTATTCAAATGACAAGAATTGGATGACTAGGCATATGGAAACCCTAGTGGTCGTACATTGACTTCAGCATTTGAGCAGCCAATATCCATGATTCATGATTGTTGTCTAGGCACTCCGTGACGCATTATTATCTTCTTTAGCAATTAGCAAGGCATCCATGACGTGACAGCAATGTCAACTCCTCCAACCCCTTTTTAACCATATAGCTAGTTATTTTGCACTATTTTTAAACAAAGCTCTTCTTAGAAAAATGAAGAAAAACAATATATATATATATATATATATATTATACCAAATATATATAACCAGTGTAGTATGAACTTCGATTGTTCATGCGTGTCAATTGACATTCACACACTCACTGTCACTTTCCCATGTATGAATACTATGATGGAAAGTCATTAAATTTGGTAATTTATGGATGGTATTGGAATAATCTGATGTTAATGTTGTTCGCGTGTCGGCACGTGATGTAACGCCATCAATTGGGGTAAATATTATATCGCTCGTTACATGACTTGGTGAAATAAGATAATTTCTTCAATCATATATTGATTTTCATCACAATGCGTCCCTACGTAACTGATGCTAGCAAAATTGTATTAGAATACGATTAGCAGTGCATCATCTTTCTTCCTGCTCCCACGAAAGGGACTTTGCTCTTTTTTTTGGTTTGAAGGGACTTTGCTCTTTCCACTCGCTATAGATAGGTCATGGCTGGCGTAGAACCTGCATCTCCAGCCATATATATTTTGTATGTATCAAATTCTCACATGTGCATTTATAGTTTCACTTTTGTTACATTAAATTCATTAGAGTCTTGATCGCACCACCCTTGTCCCTTTCAAATATATACATATATAATTATGTCCTCAGCTTGTATTTTTGTTTTGTTTTGTTTTTGTAACATAATTACAATGTAGAGGTTAATTATCCAAAACATAATTTGTTTTGATGCAATTAGTCTTAATTAGGTGAGCAGATTACATTGCATGTGGTTGGTCTTGGTCTCCGGGCTATATTAACCACTACTTGGTGCATGTGCTTTGATGTTCATGGGAAAGAGGAGGCATTATGCCACGTCACTTCCAACGTCTAATTATAATATTTATATTGCATTATTTTCTCTCAATAAAAAAATAAATGAAAGAAAATAACTCGGAATTTCCAATTTCTTCAGGTCCATAATTGAAAGAAGAATCGATGCCTGCCTTGTGTCCCCTTCATTCTAATCATCCAATCATCTTCTTACTTGCATTCTACTTTTCGGTTGTCATATCACATATATCAGACGACATATATGGAACAATATTAATGTCTATATATGCATCTATATGCATTTGAAATTTGGAATGTAACTAACCAAAGTATTGGAATGGATTAAGTTAGTACTATATTAATCACTTATTTAAGCTAACTCCACGATGTCATCTCATGAACAGAACAGTTTTTGTTTCTAAGTCATTATTCCATGAACATTTCTGGAAAAAAAAAAAAAAAAAAAACCAAGTTAGAAATTCTTTAACCATTTAATTATTATCGTCAATATTTTCACTACTTATTGAAAATAAATATATATATGTATTATTTATAGGGGTTAATCGTTTTATTAGTCCATGGACTTAGACCCGATTTGCATTTGAATCTCTCAATTTCCAAAATCGTTCCCGTGGTCCTTCAACTTCACTTTCGTTAAAACAAATGGTCATTCTATCAATTTTATTAACTTTTTATGTTAAATGCAAGGACAAAATGATATTTTTTTATATTAAATCCTCCCCAACCAGCGCTCCCATGACTTTCTTCCCCCTCTACGATTTTCTTC